CTTCCTAAACGCATACGGATGAAGTTAATAATGTTAATTTTTGCACCAAATGACACTCTCAGGAGTTCACTGGCATTCTGCATTTCTAACTCTGTAAGATGTGACCTTAAAGTATTACAAAAGCACTAGTGCTGGTGAGACATTTGGGTCCTTATCTAACATGTGGTTGCCCCATTTATTGTTTATATACTATTAGCCATATACCAGAAAACATATCTCCAAAATTAAGATGCAATTTATTCTAAAATATTGGGAAAAACTATTTCAGCTGTATAAAAGCTTGTTTGTTGATTTATAATGTTCAGTTCCAAACCACCCCAACTTATTATTTTTCTCCCCAAAGCATCCCTGCGGCTAGTAGCTTCAGAAAACTAATGGGATATTACCCATCTGAAGATTAAAAATTATTTTGTTAATCATTTAATCATTGTTTATCGTGACAGAGCCAAGTGGAATATTGAAGGGCATGCCTCAATTTTTGTTTAATTCAGTTTTAAGTCCTACACATTTAAATATTATTAAAAATTAAACTTTGGACTATTTTATTTTTTTTGTTTTATTGCTTTTTAGATCCTTATACAATTTACTCCCTTAAAATTCAATCCTAACTCTGTTGCTTATTTATAATATATTGCCACTTTCCGGTATCGCTTAAATCTAAAGAAAACAAAAGGAAAATATACTCTATTGGGTTCCTTTTTCCAGTCTGGGTTTGCTTCATCTTCTTCAACACTAAAAGGCTCAGGCAAGTGAAGTGTGATGACGCATCTTTAGTTTCGTTTGAGCAAAGAGAAAAGGTGATGAATTCAGGGTTTAATCCACATAGGTTAGCAGATTCGATTTCCAATCCCTTTTCAAAATTAGACAGAATGATTAAATGAAGGGAAAATGCTAAAAAAGAAGTTGAGGGAGAAAAGTGGATGTTTTCATTAACTAACGTGGCAAAATATTGGAAACATAGTGGCTCTTTACATTAATAGATTTATCATATCAAAGTAATATATTTTTTCTTGACTCAACAAATGGATCAACCTATGAATCCGGTGTTTTCAAAAACCCTTGAGGGAACAGCAAACCGAGCCGAAAAAGACCTGGAGAAGTCATCAGGATCAGCTGAGATCAAGCCCTGATCAAAATTCTGTGCATATGTATGAGGATCATAAGAAACATTAAGCACCCCAGTAGTACTCCTGGATGAACAAATAAAGATCTTCTTCTTCTCCCTCATCAACTTCCGCCATAGCAGCCTCCACCTTGGCAGCTTTGATGTGGTCGTCGCCAACACATTGATCGAAAGCATCCGGTCGTACCGGTTGCTTCTCCATCTCAACTCCTGGATGCCTGAGCTGCACAACTTGCCAACTTCCATGGTGAAAAGATAAGCTACAAATTGTGGATGTTTAATAATTAATTATTTTTTTTATTGTTTTATGAGATTACATTTTATAATATTAATGTTATATATTTTATGATGCGATGCAAGAACAAGGAAATACATTGAAAATATACTTTGTATAGATGTTGGAAAATCAATTTATATGCATATTGACCAAATCGTCCATATCATGAAATGCTGCACAAGAACCTGTTTCAAGATCTATTTACAAACATGGTCCTTGGGATACTCGTGAATCTTTCAGCTTTCACTCATCTCTTGCGGTCCAATCCAACTCAACCCAGTGCATTTGAGTTCGTTTCCAGCATCCATCGCTTCCAAGTTCATTTCTAGAAATATGAAAACAATTTTCAAAACAGAGTACGATATCATTTTTTCCAGAAATAAACAGCCTGTATGTAAACCACCCTAACTCTGGTGATTAATTGTTTTCTTTCATATTCGGAATAAAATCAATTATGAATTCGGTTTGGATAAACACCACATTATATATTTAAACATAATTAACAGTGCATGTATGAATTATTTAGTTCTGTTTATACCTGAGGGTAACAATTTTGACGAATGATAGTCTGATTGATTCTGTATACCACGATCTTGCACAAGACTTTGCCTGTTGAATATTACACAATAAAAGATTTAAAGGCTAAATTATAAAACTGGAAGAAATGATATTTCTTGTATAACATTAATGTTTTGATGATCGACTCCCATTCCATCGTATTTCTCAATACAGGGATTAATTTGATGAACTTAAGCAATAATTTCATCATTTTCTTCACTCAAATGGTAAGTTGGTATAGATCAGCCTCAATGGTTTGTGCTTAACCCCTTTTTTCTTTCCCTTTCCAATAAAACAAAACATTTTGTGCCAATCCACATTACACTCAAACATGAAGAAAGGCAACCCTTAAAGCTTAATTTACCCTAAAAGATAGGGACCTAAAGACGAATTTTTAAAAAAATAAGGGGTAGATTTGGTTTCCGTGGATGTACACATAGCAAATCTGGAGTCTGGAGCAGTCGATGGTTATAAAAGCAAATATAATAATTAAAAAGAAAAAGTTGTAGCTTTTTTACCTTCAAAGGGAACTTAAATAATGACAGACCGAGGAGCCGGAGACTTCCGTAACAGTATCAACAGGACAGTTCCTTTGGCAAAATCCTCCAGCAATACACAACATCCGACAACACCTAAACCCCCTTAAGCTCAAGCCGCGTCTCCACATAAGAAGACCCCATCGCCCTCACGTGACCATGCTCCCACGTCACGTGTCCCAACATCTTCCCTCTGTACCGACGGCTACTTCCAAGCTGGTGAAGTCCATGGAGTACACGTCGGAATTCCTCACCTTCAGCGTTATCAGCATAGATACATCCAACGATATGATGGGTATGGTATGGATTTGCATGGGTTCACATGCATCCTTACGATTTAACGTCGGGATCGGAGGGCCAGAAAATGTACGCCAAGGTAACCAACAAGACCAAGGAAGCCGTGCCGGTGCATAGTCTCCGAAAGCCGCGCCAGCGGAACCGTCCTCCCGTGGAGTAGTAGGGCAAAATGTCGTGGTTCATCAGGAGGTTGAGGTGGTAAAGCAGTGTAATAGCGGGATGACGACGGTGGTTCTTGTGGCGTTGATGGATGTTCGAGTTTTGAGAGTCATTTGACTCTGGCCTATTGTGTGTTTGAGAAATGTCTACTTTGGACCAGCAGGTCAGGGAGTGAGTGTTTGTTAAAGAAAGATAATGTAGTTTTTAGAGGAAGGTGGGTTTTTTGTTTGCTTCCATTTCAATCATTGCTGGTTGCTTTAAATATGAAAGCTTTGTTTACTTATTTATTCCTCTTATTTTAAGTGAGAAATATATTTGTGTCATAGATATAGATAAATAAATTATCTTAAATTAATAAAAAAATAAATAAGGGTTATGGATATAATTTTTTATTATAATCGATGATAAATTATAGATGATTGTATGACAGTATTTTAAACCCTAAAATCATAGAAATTACAGAAGATCATATAACTCAGATTGTTTTCTCAATTTATTTAAAAATATATAACGTAATAAAAATTTTAAACTAAGACAAATAAAATTTAAATTACAAACTTTAATAGTAAAATTAATAAATAAATATCATTAATTTGGTTTTTTTTAAAATCATAGATAAATTACAGAAGATCATATAACTCAGATTGTTTCTCAATTTATTTAAAAATATATATAACGTATAAAAATTTAAACTAAGACAAATAAAATTTAAATTACAAACTTTAATAGTAAAATTAATAAATAAATATATCATTAATTTGGTTTTTTTTTACAATATATCATTAGTTTGTAATTGTGTTTGATGCGTGACTATAGAATCCTTATAAGGTTAATGGATAACTCTTTTACCTGATTATTTAAGTCATTGTTTCATTTAATTATAAGTTTTACATAATTTTCACGTAATTCATTATCCAGTTATAATAAGATGCATTCGTCTGAAAATAATTCTAAATAATTACATACTCTTTATTTACATACATGTAAGAAAGAGATATAGATTCCCTTAAAAAATAAGATAAATATATCTTATTAGCTAGAACTACAAATGACGCAATGAACCGATATATCTAATATTTTTTCTTACCGGCACACTACCTTGCTTTCATATCAAATATACCTTGATTTCTAATAGAAGTTGAGATTGGGTTTAATGGATATAAAATATTAAGTGTGGTTTAGTATAAATTTATTATTCAATGTCTTTGTCAAAGTTTTGATATGATTTGGTTAAACTTTGTTTCCTTGTTGCAACTTTTCGAAACAGTAACTTTAGGTGCACAAGTTGAAAATAATGAATTAAAAGACAAATTAATACACAGATTAAAGGCTACTGCTTAGTACATCCTATAGGCCAAAAAAGTGGTACTCCCTAAAGATAAAATTAGCTTCCGGAGGACTCGAACATATTATGTAGGTACAATATTTTAACAAATTTTGCAAAGACCGGCTCTTTGTTTAGGTTGTTCTTTATGCTTTAATTTTTTTTTTGGGGTGGGTTAAATCATTATTGAGCCGACGGTACAAATAAATTTTACATTTTATGTCCCTAAAAGCATCCTCTACTTCTTTTTATAAAAAAAATCAAGTTATTTTATTTGTATTAATAAATGCTAGTATTCGACTAAGCTATTTTTGTAAAAGATTTATATCAGTTTTATTATTAGAATGGTAAAGTAAACGATTGAATTGAAAGTTTGACCCCGTAGATTTAATCATTACGGATACAATTTTATAAATTTAAAGTATTATGTACCTGTTAATCATGATTACTGAAATTCATCTTCCAAAATTCTAATCATTGGTTGAAAAGCATCCAAAATCTGTCTATGTAATTAACAAGTAATATATTAATATCACCGTCTATACATGCATCCAAATCTATATATACAAGCATTTTTCTTTTTCAATAATGACCGTGAAATGATTTTTCATAGCCAAATCTAGAGCTATACAAGGTGATGAATGAATGGATGGATAAAACAACAAATTATTTCCTGTAGTACCTTCCAAATCTGAAACTTACTAGAAAGAATATGAATATTGGTAATATCTCCTAGTTCTAACAGGGTATACACGCAGAGAGACACATATAGGTGTATATAAATATTCTTTTATTGCCTTCTTAGAGCTGCAAGGTGAGCTGCCAAATCATCATAATCCGGTAGCTTCGGATGCACATGCCCAGCAGCATGTGTGGCTGAAATGATGAGGCTCGGGTTGCCTTCCTGCTCTCTCGGTCGAACTCGTTGCTTCATTGGAGAAATTAGCAATTCTGCTGGAAGAGCACTCGGGTCGGATCTAGTGCTTCGTAAGCCTGGACCTTTATTCGTGTTGTCAGAATTGTCTTCCAGGAGGAGGTGCTAGACCTTTAGTTGTGTTGTCGGATTCTTGTCTCCCGAGAGGAGGTGCTAGAACTTTACTTGTGTTGTCGGATTCTTGTCTTCCGGGAGGATGTGCTCGGAGTGCTGTCTTCCATTTGCTCAACCATTCGTAAGGTGATTTCTTCTTGCTGTAATGCGTCAAAAGCTCATCCATTTTCTTCTCTTCTTCATCCCTCTTATCGCCTTCTTCCATTTGTTTGGATGTCAAACTAGTATTTGGAGCTCCATTTCCGAAACCACTTAAACCTTTCCATGCCAACTTGGTTTCAAAGGTCTCCTCCTAGCTGACCTTGGTTCTGGCTTACTTTCTCCAAGAGAATCATCCATTTATTGTTTTTCACCTTATCAATATTATCACTCGGTGCCATAGGCTCCTCTGTGATACTTTCTCCTTTTCCCTGTGACGGCCTTACATATGGAGGATGCATAAACCTGTAATAAGAGGGCTTCCTGTTCTCTATACCACCCTCGGAAACACTTCCATCCGAAGAACTAGTCTTTGGGATATCTTGATCAGTCACTTCACCTTCACTGCTGCTATTCAGCTTGAACTTATCATCAGTATCCTCCATTCTCCCACGAGAAGTGAGGTCTGTTTCATTTCTTTTTGGACTCTTGTACTCATGCACGTTACCAAGTCCATTCTGATCGTTGCTTATCTCGAAGCTATCATTCTTGTTTAAATACAAATTGTATCTAACATCGTCATCAACATCCAGAGACTTGTGCTGGGCCTTGTTCTGCAAGAAAAGTCATGTACAAATTAAACAATAGTAATTTGTAACATCAGAAAGCAATGCATTCAAATTCAAAATTGTTGTGCCACTCATGTTCCAACATGATGCAGTGTTTTACAAGGTTCTAGGCCGGAGGTTTACTCGCTCTAGTGGAGGTGGCTTAAACAGTTTCTGTTCCAAAGCCTTGGAATCCCATTCAATATAGAACTCTTGCGCTATGTCATGCATCAATTGAAGCTTCATCTCCTTTGTGGGAGGCTCCACCTTTAGCTTCTGCACAAACTGTATGTAAGCAATTATCCTGATTAGCACAAACAGAGATGATATTACTAAGATAAAAGACCACAAGGACCTCAAGCTAACCATTTATTACCTCTTGATTCAAATAAGAATCTAGGGAGTTTCCATATTTCTCAGTAAATATGGTTCTGAGATCACGAAGTTCGGGCAAATCAGCAAATCTGGCTGCAGCGTATATCAGAGACTGTACAGCTTCTTTGCATTCCTCTGGACATTCACTGTATTCAAAGAGAAAATATGGGTCAAATGCAAGCATTTCCCCACATCCTTATGCTTGAGGGTGGAAATGTGGACACAATGTTCAATTTAAGCACTTGATAAGATATCTGTACCCTAATGAGGAATAGACTATAGAGTTACTAGAAATTCAAGCGTCTCAACCTACCTCTGCTTTTGCATGACTGAGATATGCTTTGAGATGGAGTCGCAGAACTGCTCTATGAGTTTGTAACAGCTGTTCTCTTTTCTCCATCAGAAGACCTTCAGCCTGCAACCATCCACAAGCATTTCTCAATTTGGATATATCCACACTTGGAAAAATGTCGATGTGCATGCAGAAATTATTAAATTCCAACTTAGTTGCAAATTGAGCGAAGTAAATAAAGCCCAAGTTACTTGAAAATAGAGGTGTAACACGGTCTACATATTAACACAAGTTGGTTCAAGTTGGGAACTATACGTGTTTAGACCGCCCAATGCTCATTGAAAGCAAGCAACAGCAATATAGACTCTCATGCAGATGTACCCTAATGAACCCTGGTACAAATACAGATACTTTAGCAGCTCATGTCATGAAATTAATGCTGCCTTGTCCTCAACGCATCGTACTGACAACTGTGACCAGGAAAACATTCGGAACAGTCTTAATATTCTGATGCTCCATCGACATGCCATTTTAAAACTCCGAGCTAGAAACTGATATATATAGTCGGCTAAAACAAGTAACAATTGAAGGCGACATAGACTAATAATATTTTTGTTGCAAGTGTAGCAGGGCATTAAGGAAACGAAGACTAATTAATAAAGTCGGCAACATAGACTACAAACATAGAACATCATAACAATGATGAAGCTCAAGTTTCAGGCCTTGTTACAAAAAGTTAATGCGTGAATTATTGAGCAAAAAGAGCAGAAGGTCGAATTATAGTCGCAGTAATTACCCTGCTGTAAGCATTGTAATCGAAATCATTCATGAGAAGATCGGCCACGTCATTCTTCAAATACTTTTCCACCGCATTTTTTTTCTTTATAGTCTCCATTCTCATCTTAATCACCTTTATAGCCGATTGCTAACCAACAAAATATGAAAAAATCCAACCAAAACGATTAAAAAATAATCCAGAGTATCAAAATTCCACGCTAAGAATGAAAGAAGCAAGAAAAAAAATCTGGGTTTTGTATGCCTAACCATTTTGTATAGAACTTCGGCTTAACCAACAAGTCAAACATCTTGAGAATCAAAATTGAAAGGTAGACAGCTTTCTTTCTTTCTTTTTCTTTTGGAGAATGAAATGGTATGTTGAAAGAAGAGAAATATTTGTGGCCACGTTTATACTAACATTGAACTGAAAGTTTCTTCTTCAAGCTACACCAGGAAGGTAGGAATCTGCATGTCAAAAACCCAAAGAAGCAAAGAAAAGAAGCTCTTTTTTAAATGCAAAAGCAAAGTTTTAAGATAAAAGTTTCCAGGAAAGTTATTCAGTTAAAGGAAAGAAAATTCCAGAAGATAATGAGACGGGTAAGCTATAATGGTGTGTTTATAGCAAAGCAAAGAAACTGAAACGAAAGGAATTTGAGAGGTTAGAGAATAGAAATTGTTATGTTAAAAGAATCTGTAAAGAAAAAGGGGAAGAATATATGAACTCGCGCTATTTCTAATTATCAAATATTAGAGTTAGAAGTTAAAATAATTATATATCTTAGGTTGAGGAAGACGGCTATCAGATAGAGCAAAAATGCAATTGATAATTTGAGAAAATAAAAATTGAAGATAAAAGAGACACAAAATTTACGTAAAAACCCCCTAAATAATATATGGTAAAAACCACGGGCAACGGTAGAAGAATTTCACTATGAGAAAATAGAAATTACAACTTCTCTCAATCTACCAAGAAGAAACAATGATAATTCTCTCTTGATAAAAAGGAGAAAACAACTCTCAAGAAACTCTCTAAATTCTCTCTAGTATTGGAAGAAAGCTATAATACTTTGGGATGGTTTTGAAGCTAAAATGAGCTAGGATATATATAGTTGAAGCTTAAGGACTAATTTGTAAATACCATAAATTACAATGACTAAAATTTAGGATTTTACCATTTTTTTCAACAAAAACTGCACCTTTCGGTGCCCCTTTTTAATTCATTTTCTTCTTTTGTTTTCTCATGCACTTTCGGTGGTGCATGTGCATTCACAAAGAAATTTCAACAATCTCCCACTTGAAGATTTGATTGGAAGAATCATATCTTCACACCATTCTTTCTACCTTGTACCATCATATTGCTTACGTCTCTGACAGGCCACAAGAGGATCGACACCAAGTAAATTTATCAGTGTTGATCGCCTTCGTCATGAAATCTGCTATGTTGTCTTTGGTATGGATCTTCTGCATATCTACTGTTCCTTCTTCCACCTTTTCACGAATAAAATGGTATTGAACTCGTATGTGCTTTGTCCTTGAATGAAATGCTAGATTCCTTGCTAAATGCAAGGCGCTTTGACTGTCACAAAACAGAGAGACATACTCTTGATTGTGCCCAAGCTCTTCCAATAACATATTCAACCAAATTGTTTCTTTACTGGCTTGTGTAGCTCCTACATATTCTGCCTCTGTTGTGGATGTAGCCACAACTGACTACAATTTTGAAACCCAGCTTACAGCTCCACCAACAACTTTGAACACATATCCTGTAGTAGATTTACTTTTATCCAAATCCCCTACATAGTCAGAATCTACATACCCATTGATTAGTAAGTTTGATCCTCTGTAACATAATGCAACATTTGAGGTCCATTTGATGTATCTCAGGATCCTCTTTACTGTATTCCAATGCTCTTTTCCTGGATTCGCCATGTACCGACTAACCACTCCCACTGCTTGTGCAATGTCTGGTCTTGTGCATATCATAGCGAACATTAAACTTCCCACTACTGATGCATACGGTACTCGAGACATCTCCATCCTCTCTTCTTCACTGCTAGGACTCATACTGGAGGATAATTTGAAGTTAATAGGAAGAGGGGTAAAAATTGTCTTACAATATTACATGTTAAATCATGATAAGATCTTCTTCAAGTAATTATTTTGTGAAAGCCAAATCTTCCTATTACTTCTGTCTCGGTGAATTTGCATCCCTAGAATCTTGTTTGCTAATCCCAAGTCATTCATTTCAAATTTCCTAGCCAGTTGTGCCTTCAATTCTTCAATATGATCTTTGTTGGGTCCTGCAACCAACATGTCATCCACATACAACAACAATATAACAAAATCGTTATCACTAGACCTCTTGAAATAAGCACAAGGGTCTGAATTAAGTATGTTGTATTCAAGGCACATAATGAATGAATCAAATCTCTTATACCAACACCTCGGCGTCTGCTTTAGACCGTACAGAGATTTGTTCAACCTGCAAACCAAGTTCTTCTTTTCTTTTTCTTCAAAACCTTTAGGCTGGAGCATGTAAATTTCTTCTTCAAGATTTCCATGAAGAAAATCTGTTTTAACATCTAGCTGCTCTAGACACATTGCCAAAACTACTCGAACTGTTGTTAGTCGAACCACAGGAGAAAATATTTCATTGAAATCAATACATTCTTTTTGAGCATATCCTTTGACCACCAGTCTTGCACGATACCTCTCTACTTGATCGTCACCATTTCGCTTGATTTTGAAGACCCATTTGTTACCAATTGGCTTCCTTCCTTGTGGTAGTGGCACAAGGTCTCATGTATTATTTTTATAAAGGGCTTCAATTTCCTCTTGCATCGCCATCATCCACAGTGAATCATCTGAGTTGTTTATTGCCTCCTGGTATGTTGATGGCTCACCGTCCTCTGTTAAAAGGCATTATGCAATATTACCTTCTATAACATAATATGAGTGCCAATTGGGATGTATTCTCACACGATCTGATTGATGAGTTGTTGGTGCTTCAGAACTCTCTGGTTCTTGTTCATCATGTGCTGGTTCTGCTTCAGAAGAATCTCCTTGTTCAACCTCTTTTTCCACATGTATCTGTGTAGTCTCTGACTTTTCAACGCTATCATCATCTTCTTTTCTTTGTAGCTGATCTTCTACAAAGATAACATCCCTGCTGATGACTACTTTGTGGGCAGTGGGATTCCACAAGCAAGACCCCTTGACTCCATCAACATACCGCAAGAATTTTCATTTCTTGGATTTTGGATCCAGCTTTGAGATTTTTTGGGAGTTGTACATAACGTACACAATATTTCCAAATATATGGAGGTTTGAAGAATCAGCTGGTTTACCAATCCACATCTCCATCGGTATCTTCAGCTCTATTATAGTTGATGGAGCTCGATTCACCAAATAACAGGCGGTATTGACTGCTTCTGTCCAGAATGATTTTTCTAGGCCTGCATCCCTTAACATTGCTCTTGTTCTTTCTAACAAGGTTCTGTTCATCCGCTCTGCCACTCCATTTTGTTGAGGAGTGTTCGCCAGTGTGAACTGTCTTTTGATGCCTTCTTTCTTGCAAAAGTCATCAAATTCTTCGCTTGTGTATTCTCCTCCATTATCTGTTCTGAAATACTTGATCTTATTTCCATAATCAAGTTCCACCCGCGCCTTGAAATTTTTGAAAGTTGAAAACACGTCTGACTTCTTCTTAATAGGGTACACCCAACATCTCCTGGAGTAGTCATCAATAAATGAGACAAAGTATTTTGCTCCACCTAGGGATGTAACTGGTGCTTGCTATACGTAAGAGTGAACTAATTCTAGAACACTTTTGCCTCTAGAATTTGATTTGTTGAGTTTCAACCGGTGCTGCTTACTTGTTATGCAATGGTCACACAAAGGAAGTGTTACATTTGTTAAGCCTGGAAGTAAGTTTTGCTCCACAAGGACTTTTATTCCTTGTTCTGACATGTGTCCAAATTTCTGATGTCATAGCATTGCAGAATATGAACTACATGAGGCAACAGAGGCTTCTGCTTCTAGCAAAGTCTCTCCCTTCAGCATATACAAGTTTGATGCTATCTTTTCGCCTTTCAGCACCACAAGCGCTCCACGAAACATCTTCATGATTCCATTCTGTGTTTCAATCTTGCTTGCATTATTATCCAACAATCCTTAGGATAATAAATTTTTCTTCAGGCCTTTTACGTGCCGCACATCTCGAACAACTTTAATTGTTCTATCATACATCTTCAATTTGATGGGTCCAATGCAAACGATCTCTAAAGCATGATCATTGCAACTATACACAGATCATCCTGAGACAGGTTCATAATGATAGAACCATTGTCTTCTTGAGGTCATGTGATATGTTACTCCCGAATCAATGAGCCATATATCTGCATATCTCTTTCTGCCTTCCACGGTGGTTGACGCTTCACAACATAGAACATCTCCATCATCTGAAGTGTTTGCGGTATTGCCTTGTGGATTGGAGTTTTTATTTAGACTCCAACAATCCTTATTCAAGTGACCATTCTTTCCATAGTTGTAACACTTTAAATTCTTCTTGCTCCTCGATTTTGATCTACCATATTTGTGACTGCTGCTTTGGCCTCGTTCTGTTGATCTCCCTCTCATCGTTGTCAACGCTTCTGCTTGTTGCAGATTTACTTGTCTGTCTTCCTTGTTCTTGCGTCAATTTTCTTCTTGGAGAACATCAATTGCAACGTCATCGAAGACTAGACTGATGACATTACTGTTTGTCAAGTTGATGATGAGTTGATCATACGAATCAGGTAGACTTTGAAGTATAAGTTCAACACGTTCTTGTTCTCCTATTGTACATCTTAAGGATGTAAGCTGAGAAAATAACATGTTCAGTGTGTTTAAGTACTCTGTCACTGAAGTAGATTCTGACATATGAAGAGTGTACAATTTCCTCTTAAGGAAAATTTTATTGTGCAGCGATGTGGCCTCGTACAATTTGGTGAGATGATCTCATATATCCTTAGCTGCCTTCTTCTCCTCGATGCTTGACAATACTTCATCTGCTAATGCTAGATGAAAGTTTGTCATAGCATTC